CTACCCATTTTGTTTTAAAGAATCCAAATGGTGATTTTTTTATTGGCAAAATAGTTTTGCGACATCAAAGCTGATCATATTTTTTAAAAAGGCAGCTTATATTTATTCCCCAATTATTTTGTTTAATTGCTCGGTTAATATCTCGGATGGCATATTTGTGACACTAATTGTTGTTGTTTTTTTTCTGAAAAAAGTGTTATATATGCTTCTGAATCTGAATATGTTATATACCGTTTGTAGCTCACAGTTCATTGAAAATTTTACAGACTGCCTTCAATTTTTTGTTCAGTATTTTTTTTTGTAATTTTTTTGTGATTTCGGCAGTGATTTTGTAATTTTTGTGACTTCGGCTGTTTTTGCGATTTTTTGTGACTTCGGCAGGATCGTCTTTTTGTGTTTTTTAGGACTATTCATTATTGTACCTTGAATATCTAATGCAAGAAAACCAAAACGACATTTTTTTCTAAAAAAACTAGTCGAAATCTTGCAGCTACTCAACGAAGTTAATATGCCACATCCTGACACTTCAGCTTAAAAGGTATATAAAGTTCTCAATTATAAAAGTCTGAAAATTACTATAAAAATCAAGTGTACTATGAAGACTGTAATAAATAAAGACTTCTCAGTTTCTTGGAGGTTTTTGAATGTCAAACTATGACTAACTTGTTTGAATATTCATTAGGATTTCTCTCTTTGGAACTTTTAAGCACAGCTTTTCTTTTACTTTCTTAGTTGAAAGGTAGAGACTAATTCTTGTGCAAACTCTACTTTTCATGCCAAATTTAAGCTCAGCGAAGAAAGCGTTCGCTGCTTAACATTTTTGCGATCAATGTAAATTTTGAGTTTGATTAATTGTTGTCTGTAAGTATGATACAAGTAAAAGATTTAGCCTTGACACAGGTATGACAGACAATTTCGGTTTTTTATGGAGCTTGATTAGAAATAGCTCAATTTTTATCACAGTATTTGAATAGAGGTAATTAAAAGTGCTTGAGTAAACAGCAAGGTCTTGTTTGAGTCAGTTTGTGTTATCGGCCTGCTTTTATGATAATACCGATTAATTGTTTATCTTCCAGCCATTTTGTCTCGAAAATTTTACACCAAAATTACATTGAGCTCGATTCGCTAAACCCTTGGACGAAACCTACAAGCATTTTCCACAATTGTAAGAATCTGTCTAATTTTGAGTACTGCTGACAAAACAATACATCGTATCAGGATTGAGTCTTGACTTCTACCAGGATTTTTTCGGCTTCTCTTCATAAGGCTGCAAGTTTTTATTCGTGAAAAAATTAAAACATTTAAGAATAATGAAAAAGTTGGTGTTTTGGTTATTGTTACTTCGGCTGATTTGTAGGGAATAAGGCGACATTGCCCAGCCTAAAAATTAGGAGTTGCATGTGTCAGTTACAATGTATAACCAGGGACACAATAGTGTTTCTTTTTAAAAATCATAGTGGGTGGTTAGAGTGTAAATCATTTTTTCTTGATGCAATGTGATATTTTGCGTCTTATCGGATTAGTTAGCTCGCCTCAATTCGATTTCTAGTAATTTTTAGAGTTATGATTAATTGCCGCACACAAACAATTCATTTTTGCGCATTGAATTGTGTAGATAAAAGGATTCAAACGCACATAAATAGTCCATGAAAATGTCAAAATTTACAATTTTTCAACCCCCATAGCTTCACGAAAAAATATCACAATCAAAATATTATCTGTTTGACTTTGAGCTCAGGTCATTGATATTTTTTACGTGGTATAAAACATTTCCGTCAACATCAACTTTGATCTGCTCCCGGAAATTGGGCAGAGGAAAAAACTCAGCAATGTTTAAATAAATATTTTCATTTTTCTATAGCGTTCCAGGAAATGAAGATTTTTTGCTTGAAAACCCTGGTTGACCGCCCCACCAAAAATGCTTATTCTACAATTTCATACCTTGAGAGTATCAGCAAAGTTTTCAAAACTGTATAAAAAAGTTTTAATTGAATCGATGATGTTGAACCTTTCCTATTTCAATTTAAGATGAAAAATGCTTCTCAAACAGGTGTTATACATGAAAAGTGTGTAATAAGCAATTCTTAATCCACAATTGATATCATTTAATCATATATCATAGATTCATTTTTTTAATTTTTATATTCTAAAATAAATCTCATTCTGTAAAAAACGGGCCTCTTTTCAACCACTGCATTTTTTAAAGTTGAAGCTTCCGAGCCTTATTACATTTGCGATAGCAAGTATCTTGTTATCGGGATCTAGACTTTTGTTCTGTAAACAACTTTTCTTACCAATTTTACTTGCTTCACAATTTTTTAGTGAAACTTAGAACGAGACTCCTCACTTGGCTTAGAGGTAATGAATGAATGAAACTGAAAACATTTTTTTCCAGGAAAAATTGAATTATCGGATTTTAGTTTGTCAGCTTAGTTAAAACATGGTCAATTTTTTTTGTTTTGGGCTATTTTCATCGGAGATGAAAGTGTTTTAATTTGTTCCTGTAAATTGTAAAATTAATAGCCCTGATGTTGTTTATTTTCCTAGTTTTTTCCTCTCAAAAGCTTTTTTTTCGGCCTAAATGGTGTTGGCTTATATTTTTGTCGGATTAGCTACTTTTTTGTAGCTTCAAAGTCATTTTTTTTGAATTTTGAATGCTTACTTATTACTGATGGTTGAGGTTTTCAGTGTGATTTCTTTTCGATTTTTTCCCTATTTTTTCAATTTTGTGATTTCCGTCTTTTTACTATAGCATGCAATCTGCGCTGGCATGATATCGCAAGCGATGCGAAGTTTTGCTTCGCCTTTGCGCATAAATAAGTTTTTGTTACGAATTTTGTGTAAAAGTGATAGCAATAAATTACATGGTAAATCACCAAACGCTAAATCTGTTTGATTGTTGCAACTAAACCTCAAGGTTTTCTCGCATGTGAAAAATATTTGGTGGTTGTGTTTTATTCAAACACTAAACACACAGTTTCAAAGCAGAACCACAGTTATTTTTGATTTTTTTTATTGAAAAAAGATAATCGTAAAAATTCAGTTATGAAAAACTGCTTATCTTACCATTTTCATGTTAAAACAAGAGCTTATCATCAGGGGCGGATTTAAGGGGGGATGTCTCCCTCAGGGATTCGACCCCTCACCAACCAAAGTGTCCCCTCTGATATTATTTGATGACAGATGACACCCATTTTCGTTCGACCAACCGAAAAAGTTTTTCTAAAGGCGTCATTGGCGCCAATATTGACTAATTTTGAAGGGGAGCGTACGCCAAAAACAAACGCATTTATTGAAGTCCAAAATATTTGGGCCCCAATATTTAAGTCAAAAAAGTGTCGTTATAGTGGTTCTGGGAGTGCTTAGAAAATCAATTTGGTCGACCTAAAAACAAAGTCGAAAAAACTTCGAAATTTTTTGAAAATCTGCCCCTCCCCCTCGAGAAAGTCCTAGATCCGCCCCTGCTTATGAGGTAGATACGCATCATACGTCATCCTGTACGTATGAACCTGTTGGAAATTGTAGGATAAGAAGTTTTTCATATACGAAAATTGTATGACTAGGAGTTTTGGTCAAGCTGGGAATGTTCAAATGAGTTTAAAAGGAGGAAATCCAGTTTATTTTTTCATGTTGAGTTAATTTGAAACTAAAGACCGTACTTATAAACGCCAGTTATTCCCAGCTACAAACAAATCCAGTTGAGATCCTATATCCAAAACATATTTTTAGAGCTGTAGTTTGTGATGTTTCGCTTGAACAATTTATGGGATTTCAGTTCGCACTTGGTTCACTGCTTTCACATTATAAGCCATTGGAAAAAAACTGAAATGGAAATCATATTTTAAATGTGTAGCTTTAATAAACTGGACTAATTTATTTAATTTTAAATCAATTTAGTTATATAGATGTCAAAATCAATCGGATTTTGGCCAAATCAGCAGATTATGGATGTCTTTTTGCAGCGTTTCGTTTGCATTCTGCTGCTATCATTATGCCTCATAACTTCTCTAGCTTTGTCGTCAGTTGAAAGTAAGTCAACAGAAATGCTCAAAAAATCTTTTTTTTGTTAATCTTTAGTTGTTCAGTTTGCGTTTGGTCATTTGGAATTTAAATTTGAAAACCTTATTAGTTTTCTGAGAAATCTTTTCATAGTTTAATCATCGCAGAATTCATAAACGTTCAATGGCTTGCCAAAGAATTTTTGACGGGGGCGGTTTTTTGAAAAATTTGTGTCAACTACTCCTTTCGGATCAACCGTATAATCTATCTCTCCCCCCCCCCCCCCCCCCCCCCCGCCTAAGTGACCTACCGTAGAATGCCCTCCCCAAGCATGTATTAAGTCTGAAAATTATTTCTGTATATGCATTTCATACAAACGCGCAAATAAAATTGGTTTTTACATCTTTTTTCCATGCGGGATTGCATTTGTATGCTGTTAATTACGCAAATCAATGTTTTCATTTCAATTTTCTTTAGTAATACGGCCATTTTGAACGAATCTAGGCTATACTCAAAGTTAGCTTATGAAAATCCATATTTCCCCCTAAATCGATTTGGGGGATGGGATTGTACGGTTGGTCTCTCCTTTCTCTTGAAGTACTAAAATTATCCCTTTGGTGCCAAAATGTTCCCAAAGATATTTTCCAACAGCCATTTTTCAACCTTCAAAATTTTTGGTGTTATTTTTGCCGCAAAATCTTGAGGGGGAGGGAAGGATACGCTGGAAAATTGAACCAAAAATGCTTAGAAACGGCTTAGAAAAAAATGTGTTATGTAATGTGTGCCTAGCATGAACGATTTAATATGCCGCGGAGCTCGAACAATTTAGAATATCTGACCTAACAAAAAAAATCCGACAATGTTACAAAAACTGGTGTCTCCTGTGAACGCCACTGATAAAAACTAAATTAAAACTAAATATTTGTTAACTTTTGTCGGCTGTCATCCTCTGTGTTTTTCCTTGTCAACATTTGCTGTCGTATTTACGAAATATTACAACTATGTGCACTATTCACGACTTGGGTTGTTTTATGTCTTTGTCAGCTCCTCTGAGGTGGTGTGTGAACTCTGATTTGGAGGAGGAGAAATGCAGGGCCATGTCCAATGCATTCACAGCCCACAAACTCAAACCAACCATACTCTGTGTACTCTCCGCAAACACTGAAGGTATTAACACAGGCGCGGATCTAGGAATTTCTCGAGGGGGAGGCGCGGATTTTCAAAAAATTTTGTCGACCTTTTTTTAGGTCGACTAAATTGATTTTCTGAGCTCTCTGTAAACACTATAAACAAAGCAACCCATTTATTTTGCCCAAATTTTCTGCGCCGCAGGCAAAATTTTGAAAAAAAAACAGGCCAAAAAAGAAGTTTTTAGGCAATTTTTGGAAATTTTTTTTCGGCGCGCGCTCCCCCGTTGCCGAAAATTAGTATATATTGGCGCCAAAGGTGCCTTCAGAAAAATTTTAGTGTTCGTCACCAAAAATGGATATCTCAAAATATTACAAAGGGGAGATATCCGGTACCGTATCTCCCCTTCCCCTTTACAAATTACCATGTAATAGGCGTCGGTCATTTTACTAATTCTGTCAAAAAATGAATCAGGAGCAATATTTATTAATTGAAGCCCTTGGTTCAAACTAAACTCTTGGGGCCCACCACTAATCACATTCGAGGATTTTCACTTCCATTTTTTATATCTTGTTAATTTCGAGTTTGGGCTGCAGAAGTAAATAGACATCTAAAGAAGAATTCCTCATTCCAAGAAGGCCAAATGCCCGAAATTGATAGTTCCAATAATAATGCAGTATTGAAAGTTCTGACAAATTAAGCTGAAAACCCCGAGGATTGTCATGTTAGCATGTTTACACCATCGAGATGCTCTTATCCACTTTCCTTCCACATTTAAATTTTTACTTTTTTTCAGTTGATTTACGTGTTATAATGGCTGAATGCGTTATGTTACGAAGTAATGTAAGAAGAACAAATGTCTTCACAGTAGTTAACTTGTTCATCATTGCATTTTTACAACGTAAAAATAGTTTTTGAAGACTGAAGTTCACATTTGGCGGGAGGGATTAGAAACGCGCCTATCGAGCGTAGTGTAGTAGTATGACTCAACTTCTTTTGCCAACCTAACTCGCATATAAAAGTGCTCATTTGGTGGCACTTTTGCTATAAACACAATCTGTTGCTTTGGAAATTTCATACCATCTGTTCTTTGCTTCAAATGTGACTAGTGTTTGCGTAGCCTTAAGCGACCGTGGGACAGATGGATGGACGTGAGACTTCTAATCAACAGGTCGGAGGTTCAACGCGGCACTTAGCAATCTTTTCAATTTTCTGGCATTTTTGCTGCAGAGAATTGGCAATTTGTTATCACCTATAGCTGCATTATTGATAACTTATATTAGATATTTTCAAGAGTTGATGGCGCAGATGTGAGAACGTGAGGCGCCAGTTCTCGGGATCTTTGGTGCGAACCGATACACAGCAAAACAGTTACTATTTTGAGGCTTATTTCTACTTTTTCTTATCACATTATAGAGCTGCTTGTGGTCGTTTTCTCGCTACTGTTTTCGAAGCACAGTATGTTGATTTTTTAGACGCATATGCTTATCGCTACGCCCTTTAAAACCCTACTATTTATGAATGCGACTGTTCCGAAATTCTTGCGAATCTTGCGAACCTTGCAGGAGTGTTGCAAAATTTGCATACATAATTAGGAAAGAAAAATCTTGCAAGAATTTTGGACGATAGAACGCCCCGGAAACTTTATTCACTATAAAAATTTAATTGAACAGTCCAAAATTGTAAAGGAATTCTAATTTAACGGAAATCTGTAACACAGTTTTAATTTTTCGCATTTTTCGTTCTTGAAAATTCCCTGATTAGGGGCAGTCTGTTTTACAGTTTTAATTTATCGCATTGGTCTCTAGTGAAGTTTTGGACGATATAACGCCCGGAGACTTTACTCGCTGTGAAGTTTTATTGAACAGTCCAAAATTGTAACGGAATTCTAATGCACACCAAAAGAGCAACATTATAACAGGTGGCAACTTTGTGTGTGAACTCATAGAGTGGGGCATGTTTTTACCCGGGTTGACCGCCATAAAAAATGCAAAATGCAAAGTTCAAAAAAACGCAAAATTAAAAAATCGACGTTTCAGGGAACAATTTTTAGCCTATTTTAGCCGCATTAAAAAAAATTTTTAGTCTAAATAAAAAACATTTTTCGAAGATTGCACATTTTTTATCTATATTGTAGGTTGGCTAAATTTTTCATACAAATGAAACAAGAATGACTATGATTTTTTAAGAATTCTTTTTTGTTAACAAAATACGATTAACCGTGAGATTTCTGACTTCTGCCCGTCCAATTAATTTTTTTTCTTGTCAGAAAATCCTTGGTTAAAGTGTTTCCGGGCAAGAAAAAACAATGTATTTAGCAAAACTCGAAAAGCAAAAATTTTCTTGATCAACGAAAAAAATGCTAATTTAATTTTCATGCATGAAAAATTGGTTGTCATAGATTCATTTTTGCACGTATGGAACGCATAAAATAGTAATTTCATTTTCAGTCAATTGTACCTGCTACTGAAATTGTTTTTGTGAATAGCTTATTCTGACAGATGAATTGCTATTCAAAAATTCAATTTTACGCTTCTTTTGCCAATTAATTTGACTGATTTAAATTATAAATAATGTTCGAAGTATATTAAAAAGCTATCAAGATTGTCAAGATATTCTGCTTATTTAATCTACAAATTTGAGTGGAAATTTGAATGAGTGAACTGGAACAAAATCAAACCTGAATCTGAAAAAGTATCTGAGAATCAGATTTACTAATTCGAACCAGTAATTACTAGTAAAGCAAGTAATTACTAGTAAGGCCAGCTTTACTAATTCGAACCAGTAAAACAAGCGAGCAGGCTTATCACAAAATAATAAGCCATGAAAATGTAGTTTAAGTTCAAACTTCAAATTGAACTTCAAAAAATCAAAACAATTTCTGCACAAAAATGAAAAAAAAAAAACTTCAGAACATTTTTATGAAACTTTTCTTTTCTGCTTAGTTTTTTTTTGACAATAACCGCTGCCCTTTTTGCCTAAATTTCTCTGATTAGAGAATATGCTTGAATTTAAGGTTTTCATCAGATCCCCTATCACACCACGCCTAAGAAACAAACTATTTGAAAAGAAAAATGAAAAAAAAAAATGTATTTTTTAAGAACATGGTCGGAACATTCTGTTCTACTTGCACAGCAACTGGCTATCCTTGTTTTTTAGTAACTATTGTAAATTATAGTTAAAACTTTCTCTTCTTGAAAAACATTTTTTTTGTTATTAATTTTTTCCTCGATCCCCTTTTCCAGTCTCCTCCTCCTCCCCCTCATCTGGTCACTCTGCGTGTCTGCGCACTCTGGCCAAAGGAGAGGCGGATGTGACGTCAGTGAAGGGCGTGGATGTGGGCGTGGCCTCAAAAAAGTTCCGACTCCAGGGCATCATGGCAGAGAATTACCCTGGACCTGGTGAGTACAAAAAAAAACCAACTAAATGAATTGTAATTTTTTAAACAAAAATAGCAGACTGCTGTTAAAGAGTATATTGCGACCACAGTAGCGATAAAAAATTCTTAAACTGAACTTTTCCAAAAAAAAATATCTAGAAAACGCTCCCTTCCAACGATTTGACCCCCTAACTACCCAAAGGGTCCCACCTTTGGTTTTATTTTACGACATCAATTTTCGACCAATCTGCCCTGAAATTTTTCAAAAGGTCGGCGCCAATTTTTCAAACTTTTCCGTAAAGCGCCCAACAGCAGGCATTTTTGCCCATTAAAAAAAATTGTCAAACTGGAAATTTATAGTGTTTTGAAAGAGCTGCGTGAATCAATTTGGCCATCTTAAAAAAGTTCAACAGCAGTCTAGATCCGTTCCTGCTGTATAGTATTTTATATTAACCAATCGTGATCAGTTACTAAAGCCTAAATACATTTTGTATCCTCAGTAATTTAATTGGCAAGACCGCTTTTTTATAAATTGAATCAAAGCTGATCACAACCTAACCTCTCTTAAACCAGTGTTTCCGAATTTGATTTTTCTGATTCTCAGTGGAATAAGAAATAGTCATCGATCCGTTTTTCTCTAAATAGGTTAGTTATTGAAAAAAAAGGTCATTCATAAAAAGTTCTTTAAATTTAAAGTGCTTGATGTTTTTTCCCCCAAATTCGATAGTTCAAAAACTTTCAAAAAAATTAAAGAATTGTTCCGTTTCCCTGAGTTCATTTGCACGTTTCCGAACGTCTGTTGGGTATGTCGTGAAAATTTTTTGCTGGAAATTCAGTTTATCTACGTGGTAACTGCCATTCAAATTCTGGTTTTCCTCATTTAAGAAAATCCTTGGTTATTGTGTTTGAAAACAAAACACAAGATTTCAAAATGGAGATCAGTTTTTTTTGTTTTTTCAATAATGGAAGAAATTCTGATCATTCAACTTCTTAGTATGGAAAAAATGCTTGTCATAAATTTTAATCATAAAAGAGCTGCTTATAGAATTTGATACAATTTTTGATACAAAAAGAATGTAAAAAAGCTTGTTATTTAATTCCAGAGTGTGAACAAAAATGTCTATAAGGAAGATTCATTTTATGGAAAATGCTTATCCTAAATTGTAACAATAGACAAGTTGTTTATTGCATTTGATACCATTTTTGATATAAAAAGAATGTAAAAAAGCTTGTTATTTAATTCCAGAGTGTGAACAAAAATGTCTATAAGGAAGTTCAATTGTATGGAAAATGGAAAATGCTTATCATAAATAGTAATAATAAAAAAAAGTTGCTTATTGCATTTGATACAATTTTTTGATAAAAAAATTTAAAAAAGCTCGTTATTTAATTCCAGACTCTGAACAAAAATGTCTATAAGGAAGATTCATTGTATGGAAAACGCTTATCACAAATTGTAATAATAAAGAAGTTGCTTATAGCAATTGATTCAGTTTTTGTTAAAAAAGAATATAAAAAAAGCTAGTTATTTAATTCCAGAGTGTGAACAAAAATATCTATAAGGACGTTGAATTGCATGGAAAATGGAAAATGCTTATCATAAATAGTAATAATAAAAAAAAGTTGCTTATTGCATTTGATACAATTTTTTGATAAAAAAATTTAAAAAAGCTCGTTATTTAATTCCAGACTGTGAACAAAAATGTCTATAAGGAAGATTCATTGTATGGAAAACGCTTATCACAAATTGTAATAATAAAGAAGTTGCTTATAGCAATTGATTCAGTTTTTAATAAAAAAGAATATAAAAAAAAGCTAGTTATTTAATTCCAGAGTGTGAACAAAAATATCTATAAGGACGTTCAATTGCATGGAAAATGGAAAATGCTTATCATAAATAGTAATCATAAAAAAGTTGCTTATTGCATTTGATACAATTTTTGATATAAGATTTTAAAAAAGCTCGTTATTTAATTCCCGAGTGTGAACAAAAATTTCTATAAGGAAAATTCATTGTATGAAAAATGCTTATCCTAAATTGTAATAATAAACAAGTTGGTTATTGCATTTGACACAATTTTTGATATAAAAGGAAATTAAAAAAGCTGGTTATTTAATTCCAGAGTGTGAACATAAATGTCTATAAAGAAGATTCATTGTATGGAAAATGGAAAAAGCTTATCATAAACTTTTAATAATAAAAAAGTTGCTTTTGCAGTTGATACAGTTTTTGATGAAAGAATTCAAAATACCTCGTTATTTAAAATCAGAGTAAAAGCAAAAAATGTCGATCAGAAAGTTTCATTGTATGGAAAACGCTTATCATAAGTTGTAATAATAAAAAAGCTGCTTATAGCAATTGACACAGTTTTTGATGAAAAGAATGTAAAAAAGTGTGTTATTTCATTCCAGAGTGAGAACAAAAACGTCTTTAAGGAAGATTCATTGTATGGAAAATGCCTATCCTAAATTGTAATAATAAATAAGTTGGTTATTGCATTTGATACAATTTTTAATATAAAAAGAATTTAAAAAAGCTCGTTTTTTAATTCCAGAGTGTGAACAAAAAATATCTATAAGGAAGTTTCATTGTATGGAAAACGCTTATCATAAAATGTAATAAGAAAAAGTTGCTTATAGCAATTGACACAGTTTTTGATATGAAAAGAATGTAAAAAAGTGTGTTATTTCATTCCAGAGTGAGAACAAAAACGTCTTTAAGGAAGATTCATTGTATGGAAAATGCCTATCCTAAATTGTAATAATAAATAAGTTGGTTATTGCATTTGATACAATTTTTAATATAAAAAGAATTTAAAAAAGCTCGTTATTTAATTCCAGAGTGTGAACAAAAAATGTCTGTAAAGAAGTTTCATTGTATGGAAAATGGAAAATGCTTATCATAAATTTTATTAATAAAAAAGTTGCTTATTGCATCTCATAAACTTTTTGATGAGAGAATTTAAAATAGCTCGTTATTTAATTTTAGAGTGTGAACAAAAAATGTCTTTAAGGAAGTTTCCTTGTCTGGAAAACGCTTATCATAAATTGTATTAATGAAAAAGTTCCTCATAGCAATTGATATAGTTTTTGATATAAAAAGAATGTAAAAAAGCTTGTTATTTAATTCCAGAGTGCGAACAAAAATGTCTATAAGGAAGTTCAATTGTATGGAAAATGGAAAATGCTTATCATAAATAGTAATAATAAGAAAAGTTGCTTATTGCATTTGATAAAATTTTTGATAAAAAAATTTAAAAAAGCTTGTTAATTAATTCCAGAGTGTGACAAAAAATGTCTATAAGGAAGATTCATTTTATGGAAAATGCTTATCCTAAATTGTATTAATAAAAAAGTTCCTTATAGCAATTGATACAGTTTTTGATATAGAAAGAATGTACAAAAAGCTTGTTATTTAATTCCAGAGTGTGAACAAAAATGTCTATAAGGAAGTTCAATTGTATAGAAAATGGAAAATGCTTATCATAAATAGTAATAATAAAAAAAGTTGCTTATTGCATTTGATACAATTTTGATAAAAAATTTAGAAAAGCTCATTATTTAATTCCAGAGTGTGAACAAAAAAATCTTTAAGGAAGATTCATTGTATGGAAAATGCCTATCCTAAATTGTAATAACAAACAAGTTGGTTTATTGCATTAGATAAAATTTGTATGTAAAAAGAATTTAAAAAAGCTCGTTATTTAATTCCAGAGTGTGAACAAAAATGTCTATAAAGAAGTTTCATTGTATGGAAAATGGAAAATGCTTATCATAAATTTTAATAATAAAAAAGTTCCTTATAGCATTTGATACAATTTTTGATGAAAAAATTTAAAATAGCTCATTATTTAATTTTAGAGTGTGAACAAAAAATGTCTACAAGGAAGTTTCCTTGTATGAAAAACGCTTATCATAAATTGTATTAATAAAAAAGCTCTTTATAGCAATTGATACAGTTTTTGATATAAAAAAAATGTAAAAAAGCTTGTTATTTAATTCCAGAGTGTGAACAAAAATGTCTATAAGGAAGTTCAATTGTATGGAAAATGGAAAATGCTTATCATAAATCGTAATAATAAAAAAAGTTGCTTATTGCATTTGATACAATTTTTGATGAAAGAATTTAAAATAGCTCATTATTTAATTTTAGAGTGTAAACAAAAAATGTCTACAAGGAAGTTTCATTGTATGGAAAACGCCTATCATAAATTGTAATAAGAAAAAGTTGCTTATAGCAATTGATACAGTTTTTGATATAGAAAGAATGTAAAAAAAACTTGTTATTTAATTCCAGAGTGAGAACAAAAACGTCTTTAAGGAAGATTCATTGTATGGAAAATGCCTATCCTAAATTGTAATAATAAATAAGTTGGTTATTGCATTTGATACAATTTTTAATATAAAAAGAATTTAAAAAAGCTCGTTATTTAATTCCAGAGTGTGAACAAAAAATGTCTGTAAAGAAGTTTCATTGTATGGAAAATGGAAAATGCTTATCATAAATTTTATTAATAAAAAAGTTGCTTATTGCATCTCATAAACTTTTTGATGAGAGAATTTAAAATAGCTCGTTATTTAATTTTAGAGTGTGAACAAAAAATGTCTTTAAGGAAGTTTCTTTGTCTGGAAAACGCTTATCATAAATTGTATTAATGAAAAAGTTCCTCATAGCAATTGATATAGTTTTTGATATAAAAAGAATGTAAAAAAGCTTGTTATTTAATTCCAGAGTGCGAACAAAAATGTCTATAAGGAAGTTCAATTGTATGGAAAATGGAAAATGCTTATCATAAATAGTAATAATAAGAAAAGTTGCTTATTGCATTTGATAAAATTTTTGATAAAAAAATTTAAAAAAGCTTGTTAATTAATTCCAGAGTGTGACAAAAAATGTCTATAAGGAAGATTCATTTTATGGAAAATGCTTATCCTAAATTGTATTAATAAAAAAGTTCCTTATAGCAATTGATACAGTTTTTGATATAGAAAGAATGTACAAAAAGCTTGTTATTTAATTCC